AGCCTTCTGCCTCGCCTAGATTGTCTAGCCGGCCGAGGTGGCACCTTGGCAGGCTAAGGCTGGGCTGCTACCCCTGACCGCCCCCCCCTCCCCCAAGGCACGATGTCCCCGGCCGCTCTGCAGTAATATCTACGGCCTAGAGTGGTGGCATTTACTGACTGTATAGTAGTGAAGAATTTACCTGAGCGTTTAGTGTATTTTTATAGGATTTTTAACGGGAAAGAAAATGTCCCCCTCACTCCCACCGAAGGCGTGCAACTTGGCATGGGCCGTCCTCCCCACCAAAGGCGCGTGAATTGGTATGGCCGAGCATGTGCTATAAATAAATAAATAAAAGGGAAGCGCACAAAAATTGCACTAAATCGCTAATCAAACTAATTTAAAGTTGACGGATGTGAAAAAAGAATAGCGCTTGCTCACTGCGGGCCTTACGACGTGTTACCTGGCTATTTTTTTTATGGAGAGCCAAGCACGCGACCTCACATAAACCCCCCCACAAACCCCGCCACGAACCCACACACAAACCCGCCACAAACCCACACGCAACTTTTGATATATATAGATAGATTACATTTAAAAATAAATGCCATTATTTTGCAGTATACTGCCATTGATCCTTGTTATACTCCGCACACGGTCATTGGGTGCGTCCCGTGAAACAGCATAAACTAAACCACAGCGGTGCGAGTACTGAGAGCTAGAGTTTCAGTTATAGACCGAAACCTCCAAAAGCTCATGTCACAAAAGGGTGGACCGTTACAAAACTATAAACCACATTTGATATTTTGCCCGGTAAAGCCCACGTAGCTCTCTGTTTATTTTTTCAGAAGCGACCTGGCCACGAATGATAGCTCAACGAAGTGGCTTATTATGTGAAAATTACAGACCACATAGAGACTCATAGATGTACATAGAGACTGATAGAGACCCACAGGTGTACACAGAGACCCATAGAGGTGTAGAAGAGTTCCTGACGACTCGGAGACGGAGATTAAGGTAAGGGCTTGCGCCAGTAGTTAATTAAGGGCTATTGCCAATGACACAGGGGATAACACTTCCCCACAAGGGTAGAGGGTCCTAGGCTCGGTCCTATCTGTTCCCTTCCACAGCAGGCTGTCCGTGCTGCCTTCTCTGCGCTGGCCGTGGGTTCAGCCAACAACGGCCGACCGAGGAGCGCAGCCACACCTAGCCCTTAAGCTGTGCTGTTACAGACCTCTATCCCCTTGCCCCTGGCCCTCCATTTCACCCTGCTCAGTCCCTTGTCTCCAGCTACGACCCCGCTTACGTCAAGGGCTCCCGTTAAGTACCCTTGTGGGACATGACATCATCCTGCTCCAGGCGTGCATGACGCCACCTCCCATGATGTCATTGCCCCTGGAGGCGAGCGTGACGTCATGTCCGCAATTAGTCCTCTACAGAGGTATAGAGAGACCTCTAGAGGTACATAGAGGTATATAGAAACGCATAGAGGTACATCGAGACCCATGGAGACCCACAGACTAAACTAACGCAAAACTATTTTATTTACCAGGTAAAGCCCACTGAGCTCTATTACTTTCTTTAGAAGCGACATGGCCACAAACGATAGCTCAACGAATTAGCTTATCATATGGACATTTTAACACATAGGCATTCACGATCAATATCATCCAGAATTGAGTTTTTTGGAGTTAGATCGCGTAAATATGTGTCGTTAAAACCCGCCACCACCCGACACAGCCAAGTAGTAAGGGTTGTCACGTAAACAGAACATGCCAATTCATCACTAGTACAGCACACCGGTGTGTTGGAGAGCCCAGCCACAACATTTACAATCTAAGTACGACGTTTCGCCAGTAATTACAACTAGCTTCCGCAGGCAACAGCCAGATTTGTGGAGAAGTCTACCTGTTTCGTTCCTTATATAGAAGCGTATATGTGGTGACCACACTTCTGCGCTCTTGCGCGAAGTCGGGGGGGGGGGGCGGGGGGGTGGAATTAATGAGCCAACGTACATTATGCATGCGCATTATGTGAGCCCTTTGATCCTGTCCTTCCTGTCAATTATATGTATTAAAATAGCTGTACCAACGGTAATCCCTATTTAAGTATGGTGCCCTGTATAGACATGCATTTAGACAATGTATTATTTGATTATTCGCTTCCACGCATCACTAAGTCGGTAGCGATCCGAACGGTTACAATTATTTTTTATTTCTTTAAATTTCGATAGATTCTATAATTAGTCTTGGCCAGTAGTAGCTAGTTTTGCACAGAACTTCAACATTATCAAAATCAATTGAGTGTCCTTGTTGGCACGCGTGTTCTGCTACTGTTGACAGTTGTATTTGGGAGTATTTGTCTGATGTTCTTTTAATCTCGTGTTGATTATTCATCCTGTTTTCCCAACATAACATTTGCCACAAGTGCAGTTAATCCTGTACATACCTTCTGTTGATAGCTTCAGTAATACATATTTTGTACTAAATATTTACGTCTGTATTGTATGTACCGTGATGAATGTGACGCGGATATTTTGTTTTTCTAAACATCTGGTTTGTTTATCGGTTAATCCGGCAATGTACGGTATTCTTATCATTTTAATTACTTGGGCAGTTTCAATGCTCGTGTTATTTGATTTGGTTTTGTGCATCATTGTAACCGTTCATTTGTAGCGCTTATTTAACATGTTGAATTTCACTTCTCAGACTGTCACTATCTCACACTTTCTTAGCTCGATGAATGTGCATCTTGATAAGAGCAGATTTCTGTGCGGGGTGATGGTGTGACTCTGCATTCAGATAGGTCGTCAGTATGCGTTTTATTTTGGTAAATGCTGTGTGTTATTTTACCATTTCGACCCCGTCCGAGCAGAATATCCAAAAATGGTAGATTTCTGTCAGCTTCCACTTCCATGGTGAAATGGATGGATGGGTTTTGCGAGTTGAGATGATTTAGAAATTCGTAAAGTGTATCTTTGTCGTGTGGCCAGACCACCAATGTGTCATCACATTTAATAATTGTATTGAATCGTTGACCTCTCCGTTCATCCAAATATACAACAGGCATCGTTGGGGTTCGGTATCGAAACCACGATCTTCCTGAATTTCGCCACCATGAGGCAAATGGAGAGCATCACAGACTTGGTGTTCCTGACCCTCATTTTAAAAACTAACAATAACATCTTGATATGAAGCTTTCGTGACTGAAGGAATCCATACTCTTTGGTTATTTCGGTAAAGTCACGTAGGTATAAAATAAAATAAATCACGACGTTTTGGGTGCAACACAAGCGTCCGTCATCAGGCAGGTAGGATGGAAACATCACAGTCTGCCTGCCTATGTTAGTTACATGCTAATTTCTCACATTAACATCACTAGCCCCGGCCACTTCTTTATAACCCATGGGCTACACCCATTTCAAACCTTAGAAAACAGTCTTCCTCAGCAGCAGACCATGCTTTCCCACCTGATAACGAATGCTTGTGTTGCGCCGGAAACGTCGTGATTTATTTTATTTATACCTACGTTACTTTACCGAAAGAACCAAAGAGTAACAATAACATATTTTAGTATCACAAGTGTAGTGGCTAACTCAGAGATGAAAATAGTTGGAGGCACTTCTTTATTAACAGCACCATCGGGGTTACCACTTTATAATTAGTCTATTGTCGGCGACGTTACTCAGTCAGGACAGTTGGTAGTCTACCTGGCTGGTGATGCCCCGAGATGGTGAAGATGGAGATGATGACAAGAAGGATGGTGAAGACGACGAGAAGAATGGTGAAGATGACGAGAAGAATGGTGGGGATCCCACTCCGCACAACTGCCCCGAGGTCCCCTACAGTGGCCCTTCTTATACGTCAGCATGGCCTGGCTCCACCACTGGCCACGCCCCCTTTCTATAACCTACAAGCGGGTTCTTTGTGTGCCCCTTTTACATTTCCCCTAGATCCCCCTCTGGTGTATATCTGGCCTGCTGACATCAGGGCTGCCGTAAACCGCAAATCCCCTTCCCTGCCTGCAGCCAGCGCTATGCTGCCACATTACTATTTTATGCCACTACACAAGTGTAAGGAAGCTCCTTGGAGACATCAATTTTCAAAGGAATTTAGCTTTATTTCTCCGACCGTATATGCAGTTTGCGCTTAACGATTGCCACACTCGTAATGGCTATGGATATCTTCAGCCCCGGTGGTTTCCGCTAAGTTGAGTCTTGAACAGTCAACCCCGATGTCGGCCACCTCTGGTTGTCGATTAGTTCCCGAGCAACCGCCTCGCTTACCCTCATACACTCGCTCGGCTCCGCCCCTTTCGGACACTGGGCCCCCCACTTAATTATTACACGTGTGACAGTGCCTTCCAGCCACCTGTTTTTAACCATCTCAACTCGCCCTTCAAGAACCATCTCTTCCACAGCCCCCTACACAAGTAAATAGGAGTGTGTGTGTATATACCACTACAGTTGATCAACTGGATAATTGAATCATTTGGCGGGACCCTGGGGTCCCGCAAAAATCAGGTAAATAATTATTATTTTTCAGTCCGCCCACTCGTGATCCCGCAAGTACACCGGACGGATCCCGCCCCCGCAGTGAATTTAACGTGTTTATGTAATTTTTCAACTTTTTACGAAACGTAGTGCCCCGAGTAGCTCTCGACGAGGCCAATCGATTGACACTAGTTTTGTTGTCGGTAAGGCAAGACTCGTGTCGCTACGCGGTTTTTCCCACCCCGGGGCAGAGATGGGACCCCGGGGTCCCACTAATTGCTGCAATTATCCAGCGGCTTAACGGGGAAGGGGGTGCCTGATTTTTAAAAACGCCGGATAATCACTAATCATTATTATTTAAACTATCAATTTTTTAAAATTATTGCGAAACATGTTTTTAGGCGTTTAAATTTTTTACCGTATGACATTGGCAAAAAAACATACAAATAGACGAAAATAAAAAAATAAATTTAAAAAGTTACTGTTTTTGTTGTAGCATAATTACCACTCCAATCTCGAAGACTGCATGGGGTGATGTATATAGTGCAGTATTTTAATTATTATTTTTGCCGGGGACTGCCAAATAATGTTGGAACCAGCCGGATATAATCGCGTGCCGGATAATTGATGATCAAATGTATTTATTTAAAATCTTATCAATGGGTCTAAGACACGCCTATTACGAGCGCGGGCTGGGAGGCGGGAGTTGCGAAACAATGGGACGTAGCGCAGTTTAACTTTGAGGTATCGACATGAAGACACCAACAGCAGCAGGTGCGTATCTGTGTGTGTGCAGCCTATACCCGGGGAGCGGTAGCGCAGCGGGTCGCACGGCTGCATTATCTCATCCAGGATTGTATGTAGCGATTTTGTCAAATCACTTTACATTAGTATTGGCTTATGGAAAAAGGGGATGGGAAATTAGTGTTTTAGAAGGGAAGGGATGGCAAGAATGGGTGATAAAAGGGAGGGAAGTAGGAGAAGTGTACGATATTGAAAATAGATCAGTCTCAAGGGGGGAACAACACATGGTTCGTGAAGCTGCTTGTTTTATGTGGAGTGAGAGTTTTTCCAAAGGAGGGTAGCCAGTAAGGAAAAATAGCGGAAACCTGTCTGAGCACAGGGAGGTGAGGGGGGGCATCGTGAGGGACAATGGAGATTGTGAACGACGCAGGAGCCGAGTTCGATTCCTGCTCGCACCCACCAACACCGGTGACAATTATCTGAACCGATTCCTGGGTCTCATCTAGGTCGACTCAAAACTAGTACCTGGTGTGGTGTGTGAACATCGCTACTATGGAGACAAAGGGGCCCGGGCATGGTGCTGGCCACCCACCCTTCGTGTGCCGTGTCTCTTTGTCTATGAGTCTCTGTGTCTCGATGAGTCTTATCTATGGCTCCCTATGTCTATGAGTCTCAGTGTATCTGTGTCGTTATGAGTATCTGTGTCGTTGTGAGTCTGTGTGCATCTGTCTCCCTGTGTCTACCTGTCTCCCTGTGTCTTTGAGTATCTATGTATATGTGTCTCCCTGTATCCATGAGTCTATGTCTCTTTGTGTCTATAAGTCTCTACGTAATATGTGTCTATATGATTTTACTGTGCGGTCCATAGCTTGGGTTGCATGGCCCTAAACGCACAGCTCTGGCTGTCTTTAATTTTCCATCTTAGCAGGTGCTGCAGTGCAGCATCGGCCAGCTGCTGTTGATGTCCTTATGCAGGAATGTCAGAGGCAGGAGGTGGTGCCCATGACTCCACTTTTCCACGATAGAGGCAGATAGAATTATAGAGATGCACTAAAGACAATCCAGTCGTGCAATTGAGCCTTACGGCGGTACCCCGGGGTACCAAATAATACAAAATGGCCGAGGCAATAAAATATTTTAGTTCTGGGAGACTATTTTTTTGGGGAGTAGAGTATGGGGGAGTAAAGTGAATCGTTACACCCCTGAGGATAGCGATTTGGTTCGGGTGTACTGTGGGCTACCGTGTTGCAAAAGTGTCGCTAAATGCCCTTTGAAAGATGAGTGAGGCTCGCAGCCCTGTTTTGACTTAAAATGTGCGTTTGAAACGGAAAAAATTGACCTTTTGTTATGTCCAATTTATTTCAAGGTCGTAGCGCCATATGATGAGACAATGAAGCCATTTGGAAGTCTTACAGTAGAATTATTATATGCAGGATGTCTCACAAACTCGTGGTCAAACTCTCCCATGCACCCTGCGATGAGTTTTTCATTTGAAAGTCAAACCGTATTCTTTGGTTCTTTCGGTAAAGTCACGTTCTTTACCTACGTGACTTTACCGAAAGAACCAAAGAATAAGGATCCTTGCAGTCACGAAAACTTCAAATCTATAATTAAAGTGAAACCGGTTTAAGCTTTCAATGCTGGAATATAGCGAAAGTAAGTGAAAACCAAATTAATGTGTTTTGTGTATGGGTGTGTGTGCAGCCATGAGAGTTTTTCTCATGAAAGATCTGCTATTCCACCAAATCAAATTGAACATTTTGCCTGCATTTTTTTAATACATATAGAGTCATTGGTGACTGGGCTTAGACCATCAAATGCACTTGAGAACCTAGTTAAATTACAAGTGGCTGTAACATAGATTAAAACCTATATCCCAGTGGTTTTTGCTTAGCTCCCTGACCGATGCCATCTTTTAACAGTTGTACAGGATAATTTATACTTTGGATAGTGCATCGTGTACAGCTCGTCGAGATGAGTCGATTGCCGCATCGCCGACCATCAACAGACTAAAAATGACTGCATCGCGGACATTATGCGAGAGCCGGGGTACTGCGGTACCCCGGGGTACCGCCATAAGGTGCAATTGTGTCCTTCAAAAGAGGAAGAGCAGCTTCTGCTGATGTTGATGCCACTGCAGCGAGATTGAGCCATTACATTGGGCGCTTTTGTGTGTTGCACCACGTACCGGGTGGATCTTTTCATCGCAGGGTCGCCTTCATGCAGCAATAGATTTACTATGGCGGATGATGATGATGACGATGTTTGTGCAGTGCTGGATTAAGGTAATAGGCTAAGTCGGCTACAGCTTAGGAACTCATTTAATCAACATATAATACGAAATTTCAAGTTTTACATCACCCATGTATATAGGCGGTCCCCGTTTTCATGACACAATGTGTTCCTGGAAATCTTCCGTCGTAAATAGTATCGTCATAAATCGGACCCCTATAGATTTCCCACATGCTATGTTATACGTTTAAAAATGCGAAATATAACTTGCCAATGTGGTTTATTTTTTCTTTCATCGGCAATATTTATGTATGTTCAACTTCTTTTGTACCGTATGTAACCAACCATGGCTAATTGGAGATGCCAGGGGAAGGACATAAGTAAAACAAAAATCCACAAAAAACTATCGAGAATAACAAAGTTGCATGCCAAGCCACGTTGGAAACCAGACTGACTGTTAAAATGTGTTCAGTCATGTCGGAAGGTGCGGCGTAAATCTATCCATGGTGGCATTACCTAAATGTAAATGGATCGTCGTAATACTGGTGACTGCCTATTTCTATTTTAATTGATATTTATTTTACAATATTACACTTTTTTGGTAACGCTATGGTGCCTCTTGAGCTTGACATAGCGTATGTCCCAGAATGTTATAATCCGGCCCTGGTTTAACGTTCCTGCACTGCGCTACGAACCCAGCAAATAGCCAAGGTTCAATTCCGGCTAACGGCCAACAACAGCAAATATCTGAATCGGCCCTGGGCCTCCTCCCCAAGGTCTAAAAAGCAGCTTATGTGGAAATATGCGGACTCCGAATATACAACAGGCATCATCAGGGTCGGGATTGAACCCATGACCTGAATACCAGGCGAGGGAGATACCATCTCCTCACCGCAAGAAACACGCGTGACCTCAATATTTATACTGCAGGAGAAATACGATGAGCTATAAAGCTCTTTTCACAGATGTCCAGTAGGGGCATGGCATAAGACCATCATAACAAGAACAAACAGTAGAAAAAACACGATAGTAGTGCAAAGTACAAGAAGGGTAAACAAATAACCCAAACAGATGTAGAGGTGTTGCGAGAAGGGAACACACGGTCACATAGTTGTGGCCACAAACACGTCCGCGACAGCCCCGCCCTTCAGTGGTGTATTGGTATAAAGGGCGGGGAGCCAAAGAGCTCGGGGTAGAGTGTTGGGGTAAGCCAAGAGTGAAGAACCAGTGAAGAAGGCCAGCTAGATAGACCCTGGAACTACCCTGACTGCTGCCCTTTTCAGGGCCGGCAGGGCAAGCCAGTGGTGCGGCCCCAGAGCCTCAGAGCGGGAGCCCTTTCAAGGGTCGGTCTGTCTTGTTGGGTGCCGTGACCTGTGCCATGACCAGGGACAGGTCAGATAGCCTCCTCTAGTGCCTGTAGTGGAGGAAACTGGGAGTAAAGTGGTTAGGCTGTTAGCCTAGAGGGTGTCCCGGTGTGTATACGGGTGACGAGGCCGTTACCCCTTCTTAGTGTAAACCTGCAAAGCTTTGAATAAATAGTGCTGCCTCTACTTCACCGTCTCCGAGTCCCGTGAACCCACTACACATACACAAACACAAAAACAACACTAAACTATCCCCATTCTACTAAGCAAACCCCACTGAGGTATTAACTTATTTTTTTTAGAAGCGACCTGGCTATCACAATTGATAACCAAGTGGCTTATTTCGTGGACATCAATAGCAGCAAAATAATCTAATTTCTAAGCACATATTTGGAAATGTGGAGGAAAAAAGCAGAGGACCCGGAGAGAAAACATCCATGTGACCATGGGGAGCGAGACATGCAAACTCCAAACGACATGCAAACTCAAAACAATATGCAAACTCAAAACGACATGCAAACATCAGGAAGGGGGTAGAGCATAAACAAGACGCACTCTCCTCTGCATACCGAGGTATAACACCCCACTTAATGTAGAGCTGAATTTGGTGCTGAGCCGAGCTGGAGGTCGGTTCAGTGGAGTGTAGGCAGAGCCGTCCCGAGGGTACGGCGAAACTAAACCTAAAACGATGTTTATTTGACTGGGTAAGGCCCACTGAGCTATATAACTCTTTGTTTTCAGAAGCGACGTGGTTATCACAAATGATAAAAGCGTGTTCATTATAATGCTAGTAGCAACAACCACACACCCACTATATCAACACACAAGACGCATATCTCCCGTGTAGCATTAACAGACTGTAGGGGAAAGTGCTGTTAGCGAGTAGAACCTATGAAGACAGGCACGGCACACGAGGGGGTGAGTGGCCAGCACCACGCCCAGCCGCCTTTGTCTCCCTAGTGGTGATGTTTATACTGTTTATACTCTGCCAGCTTCTATACTGCTAGCCTCTCGCTATATCCTCTGCCAGCTTCTCTATGGCTAGTCTTCGCACACTCAGACTTAGGATTCCGCTAGCCTCTCTACTGCTAGCCTGTCTACCCTCACTCCTCCAACCTCGCCCTTGCCTCCAGCGGGGGATCAGCCAACACCGTTGGAGAGGACGAGGATGTGGAGAGTAGGGTCCCGGACTTCTCTTGTCTGGTCTTCACTCCAACCAACTCAACTGCGTTTCTCCGCACATCAGCTTATATCTTCTCACTCATTAAGAGACCTCAGGTGGCCCTCGTTGAGCTGTCGCTCACGAGGTGTCTCCGCCACGCTTATTGCCTCCGTCAGCCGCCTGCGAGGCGCCTACCCCGTATCTGCATTTGCAGCCAGCCAATCACCGCTATGCATCTTAATTGGTCGTCTCTCTCGTTGCTCTCCTTGTCTGTACCTGTTTGCCCTGACGAGACCTCACTGTCCCAAGCTCACACATGCGTGCACACTGTTTGCAAACCCCTGCGCGCGTTAAACCCACTACATATACAACATGGCCACCCATCCCCCTTGTGTGCTGTGCCGGCCTTCAAAGGTGCTGCTGCTGCTGCTTACGAACAGCACTTGCCCCAACAGTCTGTTAAGACTACACGGGGGATCTTTGTCTTTGATGCTCACTGCGCGTCCGGTCAAGAGGCCAGGAGCCCACTTAACGAGTTTAAAACGCGCACACTGCTCGCTGATTATTTACAGGAAAGAGCTATGGAGGGATGGGTGGATGGATATCTCTTTAACTGCATTAAAACTGAGCAGCCGGAACATTGAATAAATGCACATGATGTCGTGCCTTTTTCAGCATCGCGTTCATTTCAAATAATAAATTAATATTGTACGTGTCTGTGTGTAATATGCTGTCTATTTGGTTTACACGAAGTAGGCTTTCGCGACAAATATCCATAAGAGGTTTTTTTGGGTTAGATCGCTTAAGTATAAATGTGTCGTTAAACCGACCACCACCTGATACAGCCAATTAGTTAAGGTTGTCATGTAAACAAAACATGCCAATTAGTGGCTAGTTCAGCACTCATCGGTTGTGGAGATAAGACTGTGTATATTTGCGATCGTATATTCGCAGACCTTTTACGCAATTCAATTGGTACTTTCCCCAACAGCCTGTTCAAGGCTAAATGGGAAGGATATTTGTCCGTGTAATCAATAGCGGTGGGAACAGCTTGCAAGTGACAAAAGGGGAGTTTTTGTCTTGTTTTGCGCAGTCAAACGTCATTGGGTGGTGGTGCTAAATCGAGGGTGGGATTGCTGCCATGCAGCCCACTGAGCTATGTACAGTAGCTCCTTTTCATGAGTGACCTTGAGCACACGAAATGATAGCTCAACGAAGTGGCTTATCGTGTGGAAATTACGAGCGCATAGAGACCCATAGAACCCCATGGAGAGCCATCGAGACCCATGAAGACGCATATAGACTCATAGAAACCCATACATGAAGATACGCACATTAACAGCGTACCCGCCGTTCTGTGTTTAAATGGCAGTGATTGACGTTGTTTCGATGTTCGTCCTCGCACCTTTCAGGAACACATCCCCCACGTAAACCGGGGTATTGTTGTTGGTATTGCAGCACCATCGTTTTGGAACAGCCTTGTTTCCTCCCTTAGTATCGTAAAGCTTCCTTATGAAAATATTCTGAAAAGGGAGATTAGTGTTGGACACATCCACATTTGCAAATGTGATTATAAACTTTGATCCTTACGCCTTGTATAGATAATTCAGTCTTAATGTGCCATTGTATTTACAGCTCATCGGATTCCTGCTGCTGGAGTCGAAATAAATATGTTGTTGTCTTGGTGTGGTCTGGAACTGTTACTGTTGTTGTTTTGCTGCCTTGCCCAATATTCCAGTTGGTGTTGAAACATCGGCAGGAATTAATGTACTTATGCAATTTGTACTCATATTTTTATTATATTTAGTGACTTGCTTACCTTCCCTATATGTACGTTGCACTCCTATCGGTGTTTTTGTATTGTGTTCGTCGTAACATTCTGACCTACTGGACACCTGTGTGAAAAATAGCTTTACAGCTCATCAGATTCCTCCTGCTGGAGTCGAAAAAATATTCTGAGTCTGTAAACCGTTATGTAATCAATTAATGCCGTTTGATTGTATTACAGAAGCTTCTGTCAGGAGATGCCAAACTCTGATCTACCTCCACCTTCTCGTGTGTAAGTGCTTGCGTCACACCACATGCAATGTTGGTCCCTTTCGCCGGACGTTGACCCAACGTTGCATTGTTTACTGGGCCCGAGCTGTCGGCTAGATTACATTTTCTTAGTTCAATTTCTTTTAGCGTCTCATCTGAATCTTACCAAACAGATGTGTTCGATAATGTGTGAATTATTCTTAAGCAGCAGTAATTAATTGCCTATACATCTGTTCATCAAGTGAACACTTTGTTTTGAAATATAAAAGCTACTTGTATTTCACCAGGTTAGGCTCACTGAGCTATGTTTAAAATTATCTTTCAAAAGCGGCCTGGCTATCACAAATGATAGCTGAACAAAGTGGCTTATCGTTCGTTACATGGAAATGTATCACAGCCAAATGCGTGTTGACCACATCACCACGCCTTGTATCAAAGCATTATAGTTTGCGGTCTAGACGGAGGCCACCCAGTCAGAATGAAAATCCAAATCTTTATTCACCTTGAAGGAATCGGATGAGCTATGAAGCCCTTTTTCATAGATGTCCAGTAGGGGCATAGGGTCAGAAAGTTACAACAAACAATACACAAACATTGAGTGCATATTCTTGGTTCTTTCGGTATCGTCCTGACAGTTCTGTTCCTTCACCTGAAGAAGGCTAATTGTACACCATTGGAAACCTCATTTGCCAGTAAAACAATATGATAATTGTTTTTACTGTTTTATCTGGCAACAAAACTGACACCTTTTTTTACAAGGAGTCATGTTTACAATGACCACAATACCTGCGGTCGGAACGGTAAACTGCACTCCCATGGTCAGGGGTCGAGAACCAATATGACAAGAAGAGCCATTTAATTTAATTTCGGTAAACAAAATAACTCCCACCTAAGTCGCTCTCACACTCACCAACTCACTCACCCACTAACTCACTCTCACAACCACCCACCCACTTGCTCACTATCTTAGTCACTCAGCCACTCACTCTCTCAGCCACCCACTCATTCACTCATCCACTCACTCACTCTCAGCCACCCACTCACTCTCATAACCACCCATTCAGTCACTCTCACAACCATCCACCCACTCACTCACTTTCTCAGCCATCCACTCACTCTCCTACCCACTCACCCACACACCCACTCACTTACCCACTCACTCACTCACTCTCACAACCACCCACTCACTCTCACAGGAACCCACTAACTCACTCTTTCAATCACCCACTCACCCAGCCACTCACCGCACAGGGAACACTGCTACTTTGTGTTTGTAGGAGTGATTGTGCTACCAACCGGGCGACCCGAGTTCGATTCCCCCTCATGGCCAACACTAGTGACGATTATTTGAACCGGCCCTGGGCCTCCCTTAGGTCGATTCAGCCTCAAATCATCACCTGGTGTATTGAACATCGCCACTGGGGAGAGAAAGGCGGCCGGGCGTGGTGCTGGCCAACCCCACTCCTCGTTTGTCATAGTGCCAGCCTGAATAGGTGCTACCCGTGGACAGCATTTGTCCCCTACGGTATGTCTAAGGCTATACGGGGGAGATTTGTCTTTGCTGTGTATGTGAGAGAGAATATCACAGAGATGACGATGACGACGATGTTAGAAACCTATTTTCTAAAGTCATGTTTGAATAAGACCCTTAATAAGTGTGTTAAAACTATTTAAAGCCAAACCATGTTTTTTATTTTACCAGATAAGGCCCACTGAGCTATTTACTGTATGTCTTTTTGAGAAGCGTCTTGGCCATCAAAAATGACAGCTAAACGAAGTGGCTTATTACGTGGAAATTGTATAGCAGCAGCCAAATACTCTGAACACGTGACGTTGATTCTAAATGTGGAGGGAAAAACCAGAGGACCTGGAAACAAAATCCAAGCCGCCACAGGGAGAGAAAGAGACAGACGCAAACCCCTAATATATAGCAGGCGTCAGGGTCGGGATCGAACCCACCACTACCTTCTGTATACCAGGGGAGAGAGATAGCATATCCTAGCCAACAACAACAACCGCCATTCGCGACGAAGTGGCAGTGACGTCACAACGAGGCTCTGTGCACGTTGAGGCCATGTGAAGTGTCTAAACACCCACTGGCAGGAGGTCACGGGGCAGACCCAGGTTCTTCGGGTCTACTGGCTGAGATGACTGGCTGATGCACCACCTGTGCTCCCTACTGTGCCACCTTGCTGTGCTTTATCCACCCGGTGCTGCGCTCGTTGTTGTGAGCATCGCTCCTCCCCCCTCTGTTGTTGTTGGAGGGCGACTGCCTCCAACTGCCCAGTAGCGTCATTCACGTGCCTCCTCCACAGGGGCCGATCTTGACACCGCTGGTACCAGTCATCGGCAAGTCCACTCAGCTCCACATCCTCCTGTACCACGTCACTCCATGTCTACTCTAGCCCGTGCCGTGCCCGTTTAGCCCCCTCAATCCGGCAGAACAAAAGCTGTTTAGGCATGCGGTGACTGGGCATGCGGGCTGCATGACGCAGCCAATGCAGTGTTGCCTGCTGGAGGAGCTCAGAGATGGGAATTGGTCCAAATCTTTCAAGGATTTGTGAACTCCTCACACAATCCAGCCTGGTAACACCCAGGCTGGATCGTAGGCAGGCCAGCCTAAATGTTTCTAACCAATGAAGATGTTCCATTAGGGGGGGGTCCACGTTTCGCAAGCGTAGATAAGGTAGGGGATGACTGTGGCCGAGAAGACCTGAAGCTTCGTGCGGAGTGACAGACCAGGTAGCTTCCACAGAGTGGTACGCAACCGATGAAAAGATAATGCCACTCAACTGATTCGGAGCGAGACCTCTGCTGTTAAATCGGAGCCGGTCATGAGCACACTGCTCAGGTATGGGAAACTCCACTCTCTCCACAACTGGAAATTGTGTGGGTGGATTGTCCGATGGTACAAAATACCCAGGCAGGTGCTTAGTTTTGGTGGAGCTGATGGTAAGCAACAGGTTCAGCAGCAGCGTTTCCAACTCCTCCTCTGAGTGAGCAGCAATTACCAGATCAACGGCATATATAAAATCGTTGAGCAATAGGGAGCCATCCTTTGACCCCACCTGGACATCGATCAGTCTCCCATTGTATCTGTACCAGATGGAAATTCTTCAGGTACAGCTATTGAAGGATTCACGAACTACGTGGTCGAAATAGATGTTAAATAATGTGGGAGCCAGAGGACATCCCTGTTACACCCCAAGGTGTACAAGGAATGGCTTCAACTCCCGGCCACGTAGTTTTACCCGGGCCCGTTCACCATCATGATGGTCCTTAATGATCATGAGCAGAGTGTCAGGGACTCTGAAAGCACTAAGAACATCTCAGAGCCCAGGCCTACTGATGCTATCATAGGCCTTGACCAGGTCAATAAAGCAGAGATGTAGGTCTTGTGGGAATTCCCTACACCTCTGCTGTAGCAGACGGACAGAAAATATGGCATCTGTGCAGGACCGCCCTTTCCTGAAATCGCATTGGGGCTCCGCAAGCCTCTCCTCAGCGTGCCTAGCAAGGCGATGTTGAATAATACTTGCCAGGACCTTTCCCGGCACATTGAGGAGTGAGATGCCCCTGTAGTTGTTACAGTCTGTGGAGCCCCCCTTCTTAAAGAGGAGGACCACCAGGGCATCCTTCCAATCCTGTGGAACCCATCCAGTGGTCCAGACTTGTTATGATGTCATGTTATGCAGTATGTGCACAAACGCCACGTTCCCTCAGCATTTCGCTTGGGAGATCTTCTCCTCCCGGTGCCTTTCCTGCTCTCAGACTCCGGATTGCCTTCAGTACTTCCTCAACAGATGGCACCTCAGCCAGCTACTCATAAGAGGTGACTTTTTCTTCCAATATTTGAGACACCGCAGCCTTGGCAGGGTCATCCCCACTTTGTGCCACGTATTCCAAGCTGAGGGATTTCCCCTCCCCCAGGATCTCACAGAAATGCTCAGCAAATCCGCAAACCTGTTCCTGGGGGTCGGAGATTGGATCACCATTTTTTCCCCTAATGATCGTAATAGGTGTGGTGCTGCAGTTGTCTTTTTTATAGAATTAAAGAGTCATTTTTGATTGCCATCTCCTCAGCTACCTACGACCACCACCCATCCTTTCAGCGTCTCACAGCTCTCCGAACCTCCGACCGAAGGCTGCGGTAAGCTTCCTCATTCTCCAACGTGGGATTCTGTAGTCGATGAGAGTGGGCCTGTCGCTTCTTCTCAGCCAGCCTGAACACCTCCTCTCTCAGCCAGGGTCTCTGGGGGAGTCTAAAGCATGTACCCAAAGCAGCCATTGCAGCTGTATGAGCCACAGTCCTAAACCTCGCCGATTTCCCTTCAACTTCAGGAGGAGTCGGGGACGATGCCAAAGCCAGCCGCAAGCGATGATGAAATTCTCGCAACTTTCATCAGCTAGCTGAGACCATGCCACTATGGCTTTGAATGGGGTCCTGGGTGTACACCCACCACCAGAGTGGAAGAATGGCAGGCGCATCTTACAGATGACAAGTCGATGGTCAGTGGGCATATCAGCTCCACGGTAGGTCCTGGTGTCAAGAACATGGGCCTGCATCCACTGATTCGTCACTATGTAGTCCAGCAGATGTTATTGCTTGGATCCAGCATGCATCCATGATGTTGTAAGGATGCGCCGATGCCGTGTTGGTAATAACAAACCCATGGGCTTACAAAAATCTTGCAGCTTTCTACCATTGTTATTGAGCTGATCTGGCCCATGCCTTCAAATCACTCCAGACCAGGTGCTAGCATCATGACCAACTCGGGCATTGAAGTCACCCAACAAGATGACTCTATCCCATGGGGCCACTTTAGCTAGCACCTGTGACAGGAGGTCATAGAAGGCATCTGACTCATCGGCCTTGCCTGCATCCCTCCACAGATGTTTATCTTCAGTGGGGGCATAGGTAACCACGACCACCACTCCTAGCCTCTGGTTGATGGGAAGGCGAGCCCAAAGTAGCCTGGGGCTTACAGCTTCCCACACCGCACCGCCACGCTCTCACGCCCCGTTCATGCTTTTGTTCAGAAGAAGAGCTACTCCCTGTTGTTTGGCAGTCTTCTGCCCCCAGTAGACGACTCTCCACCCCTCATGGCAGCAGGAGCCAGAGCCAGTCCACTGGACCTCCTAAATACCACAGACATCGAGGCAGTACCGGTCCAGCTCCCGACAGAGGACTGGCAGCCTTTCCTCCGCAGTGATTGTTCGACCATTTCACGTGGCCACCCGCAGTGGTTTTTGTTGTTTCTGGAGGAGCCCCGAAGGTAAGGATTCAGTCTCCTGGCTCTGCCAACTGGGGTTTGGCCAGGAGACGTCATAGACGCCTCTACCCCTGGAACCTCCGGCACAAGCTTATTAATTACATTTTTTAGTCGTGGTTTTGTGGTAATTATTTGAAGGTGGAGGGGTTACCAGGCCCTTGTACCCATCCAGAGCCCCCATTTAGCCACTGTGGTTACAGACACCATGAGGGTAATGGCCAATTTAAGTTGGCCCTCCCCCCATGGCACTGCCCACCACAGCATTGCCATCCGGCATAACGAGGAGGTAGGGGGTTGTTTTTTCCAGACACCACGATGCCCCTGACCATCACTTGTCCGACGTGTCTTCTATTGCAGGCGCCCGCTGTGAGGGGCTCTTCGAGGTGTGGGTGCAGCAGTGGGTGAGCGCTGCCACTGGGGAGACCGCCATCCTGCCGTGCAACTACACATGCAATCAGAACAGCGAGCACTTCGAGTTTCACTGGCTACGAATGTTGAATGGCAGCAAAGAGAAGGTGAGCTTGGAGAAACCGCACGGGCTATGATAAGGCTCTGTAGTATTTTTATTTTCCACAAATGTCCAGGAAAAGGTTGCACGGTGGACAGCGGGGGAGTCGGAAAGTAACGACAGTAAACAAACACAATACACAAAAAACATATTCATAATAAAGGTTTTTTGGTTAGATCATGTGAAGATAAATGTGTTGTTAAAGCTGGCACCATCCGACACAGCAAATTAGTAAGGTTTTCCATGTAAACACTGTGCCAATTCGCTACTAGTACATGCACAGCAGTATGTTGGAGAGTAAACCCACTACAACATTTACAATTCAAGTACTCTTACATTTCGCCAGTAATTACAACAATCAGCCTCATCAGGCAACAACCCGAGTTGTTTAATGACACATTTATTTTCATGCAATCTAACCCAAAAACTTATTATGGATAATATCGATCGTGAAGCCTACATGTTAAACTAAAACAACGATAGCAGTGCAAAGTATAGGAAAAGTTAAGAAAGTCACTGAATATAAAATAAATAACGTATGCAAATTAATCAATTACGTGGCTACCACCACTTCCCCCTAGGTCCGCTCAGCCGTAAATGTGTGCCCTGCTCTTGTCGTGCATTATCAAACACTCTGAGTGGATCTTTCCCTCCTTGAGTGGGTCATTAAGGCAGGGTTTAATAAAACAAAAATCATAGCAACGATGTCAACTCTGCAACGCTACCATTGGACAGCATTCGCTCGTTGCTGTCTAAATGATCCGGCGCTACCAAAACATTATACTATCTTATTCTCGGTTCTTTCGGTAAAGTCACGTAGAAGGGAAAAAATACAATAATACAAATATAAAACAATAAAATTCTCACGACGTTTCGACTGCAACGCAAGCAATCATCATCAGGTGTGAAAACCACAGCAAGAAAATTTGAAAAAAGTGGCATTTTTTCTCTCTTATACCACCTTATAATATACATAGTATATATACTGTATCTTTTATACGTTTTTGTTATTTTACCAAGTAAAGCCCACTGAGCTATGTAGCTCTTTTCAGAAGCGACCTGGCCATCACAATAGCTCAACGAAGTGGATTATCACCATTTGTGGAAATGTATAGCAGCAGGCACAAGTGTGTTGATTCTAATGCAGGTCGTAACAACAACTGCCATTCGCCACTAAGTGGCAGTGACGTCACCATGACGCTTGTGCCAGGCGATGTGCATGTTGAGGCCACGTGAAGTGTCAAACACCAGCTGGCACGAGGTCATGGGGCAGACCCAGATTCCAAGGGTCGACTGACTGAGATGACTGGCTGATGCACCACTTGTGCCCCCTACTGTGCCAACTTGCTCCACTTTAGACACTCGGCGCTCCGCTCGTTGTTGTGAGCGTTGCTCCTCTGCCCTCCGTTGTTGTTGGAGGGCGACTGCCTCCAACTGCCCAGTAGCGTCCTTCACGAGCCTCCTCCACAGAGGCCGATTTTGACACCGCTGGTACCAGTGATCGGCAAGTACGCTCAGCTCCACATCCTCCTGTACCACATTAGTCCATCTCTTCTCTAGCCCATGCCGTACCCATTTAGCCCCCTCGATCCGGCCGAACAAAAGCTGTTTAGACATGCAGTGGCTGGGCATGCGGGCTACATAATCCAGCCAATGCAGCCTTGCCTGCCGGAGGAGTTCACCGATGGGACTTTGTCCAGATCTTTCAAGGATATATGAGCTTCTCACACAATCCAGCCTGGTTAAACCCAGAATAGATCATAGGCAGGCCACCTTTAATGTTTCTAACCGGCGCAGATATTCCACCAGAGGGGTCCACGTTTCACAAACGTGTGGCTGAGAAGACCTGAAGCGTCGTGCGGAGCGACAGACCAGGTAGCTTCCACACAGCAGCGTTACGCAACCGATGAAAATATAATGCTGCTCGACTGATTTGGACTGAGACCTCTGCTGTCAAACCGGAGCTGGTCATGAGCACACTGCCCATGTATGGGAAACTCTCCACTCTCTCCACAACTGCCCCATCACCAATTGGGAGTTGTGGGGGTGGAGTGTCTGATGGCACAAAATACCCAGGTAGGTGCTTAGTTTTGGTGGGGCTGATGGTAAGGCCCCACCTCTTCGTGGCAAGCTCCAGGTTCAGCAGCAGCGCCTCCAACTCCTCCTCTGAGTGAACAGCAATTACCAGATCATCGGCATATATAACATAGTTGAGCAATAGGGAGCCATCTCTTGACCGCACTCGGGCATCGATCAGCCTCCCATTGTATCTGTACCAAATGGAAATTCCTCAGGTACAGCTATTGAAGGCTTCACAAACTACGTAGTCAAAATAGATGTTAAATAATGTGGGAGCCAGAGGACATCCCTGTCGCACCCCAAGGTGTTCACGGAATGGCTCGGACTCCCTGCCACGTAGTTTTACCCGGGCCCGCTCACCATCATGAAGGTCATTAATTATCCTGAGCAGAGAGTCACAGACTCCGAAAGCACGAAGAACAACCCAGAGCCCTGGCCTACTGATGGTATCATAGGCCTTGACCAGGTCAATAAAGCAGAGATGTAAGTCTTGTTGGAAATCCATACACCTCTGCTGTAGCAGAGGGACAGAAAATATGACATCTTTGCAGGACCACCCTTTTCTAAAACCGCATTGGGGCTCTGCAAGCCTCTCCTCAGCATGCCTCGCAAGGCGATGTTGAATAATCCTTGCCAGGACCTTTCCTGTCACACCGAGGAGTGAGATGCCCCTGTAGTTGTTACAGTCAGTGTGGTCCCCCTTCTTAAAGGGGGTGGACCACCAGGACATCCTTCCAATCCTGTGGAACCCATCCAGTCATCCAGACTGTTGTTATGATGTCATGTAGGGCAGTCTGTGCACAAACGCCACCCTCTCTCAGCATTTCGCTTAGGAGATCATCTCTGCCCAGTGCCTTTCCTGGTCTCAGACTCTGGAACGCCGTCAGTATTTCCTCAACAGATGGCACCTCAGCCAGCCACTCACAGGAGGTGACTTCTTCTTCCAATATTTGATGCACCACAGCCTCAGCAGGGTCATCCCCACTTTGTTCCACGTTGTTTTCAGGCTGAGGGATTTCCCCTCCCCCAGGACCTCACAGAAATGCTCAGCAAATATGCTAACCTGTTCCTGGGGGTCGGAGATTGGATCATCGTTTTTTCCCCTAATGATGGTAAGAGGTGTGGCACTGCAGGTTACTTTTTTGATAGAGTTAAAGAGCGATTTGTGATCGCGGGCCATTGAGGCAGACTCCATCTCTTCATCAACCCGTGACCACCACCCATCCTTCCAGCACCTCATGGCTCTCTGAACCTCCGAGCAAAGGTTGCGGTAAGCCTCCTCATTCTCCGACGTGGGATGCGTAGCTGATGAGAGTCGGCCTGTCGCTTTTTCTCAGCCAGCCTGAACACCTCCTCTGTCATACAGGGTCTCCGCAGAGGTCTGGACCATGTAGCCAAAGCAACCATGGCAGCTGCATTAGCCACAGTCCTAAATCTCGCCTATTTCTCCTCAACATCAGGAGGAGTGGGGGACGATGACAAACCCAGCCGCAAGCGATGATGAAATTCTCGCTTGTAACTTTCATCAGCTAGCTGAGACCATGCCACTATGGGTTTGAATGGGGTCCTGGGTGTACACCCACCACCGGAGTGGAAAAATGGCTGGCGCATCTTACAGATGACAAGTCGATGGTCAGTGGGCAGATCAGCTCCAGGGTAGGTCCTGGTGTCAAGGACATGGGCCCACATCCGCTCTTCCGTCACTGTGGTCCAGCAGATGTTCTTGCTTGGATCCGGAATGCATCCATGATGTGTGGATGCGCCAATGCCGTGTTGGTAATTACAAGCCCATGGGCTTACAAAAATCTAGCAGCCTCCTACCGTTTTTATTTAGCTGATCTGGCCCATGCCTTCCAATCACTCCAGACCAGGTGCTAGCATCATGACCAACTCGGGCATTGAAGTCACCCAACAAGATGACTCTATCCCATGGGGCCACTTTAGCTAGCACCTGTGACAGGAGGTCATAGAAGGCATCTGACTCATCAGCCTTGCCTGCATCCCTCCACGGATGTTTGTCTTCAGTGGGGACATAAGTAACTACGACCACCACTCCTCGCCTCTGGTTGATGGGAAGGTGAGCCCAAAGTAGCCTGGGGCTTACAGCTTCCCACACCTCACCGCCATGCTCCCATGCCCCCTTAATTATTTTGTTCAGAAGAAGAGCTACTCCCTGTTGTTTGGCAGTCTCCTGCCCCGAGTAGAGGACTGTCCACCCCTCATGGTGGCAGGAGCCAGAGCCAGTCCACCGGCCCTCCTGAATACCACAGAGATCCAGGTGGTACCGGTCCAGCTCCCGACAGAGGAGTGGCAGCCTCTCCTCCGCAGTGAGCATTCGAAAATTCCAAGTGGCCACCGCAGTAGTTTTTTTGTTTCTGGAGGAGCCCCGAGGGTAAGGATTCAGTCTCCTGGCTCCGCCAACTGGGGTTTGGCCCGGAGACGTCATAGACGTCTGCCCCCCCCCCCTCCCCGGTGCATCCTGCATAAGCTTATTAATTACATTTTTCATTCGTGGTTTTGTGGTAATTAATTGAAGGTGGAGGGGTTACCAGCCCCTCGCACCCATCCAGAGCCCCCATTTGGCCGCTGTGGTGGTTACAATCGCCATGAGGGGAATGGCCAATCTAAGTAGGCCCGCCCCCCACGGCACTGCCCACAACAGCATTGCCATCCGGCAACAACAAGGTAGGGGGTCGTTTTTGCCGGACCAACAACACACCTGCTCACACACCCACCAAACTGCAGGGCATATAAACAAACAAGACAAAGATCTCCCCTGGAGCATTTACAAACTATTCGCCAAGGTGCTGTGCGAGTAGCACCTATGAAGGCCAGCAAGACATGATGGGGTGGGTGGCCATCACGACGCCCACCCACCTTTGTCTCCATAGCAGCGATGTTTACGCACCGCACCACTAACTCGTTTTG